GTAAGAGAAATTTAGGATAAGAATACGAACATGTTCTTGCATGAGGCCCATTATTCCTACGTATTGCAAATTTTTACTAAATGTTCAATTTAAATGTTAAATAAATAAATATGTAAATATTAAGTCCTAAACTGAAATGTAAAAGTAAAATCTTAAATGTTGAACTTTACAATTACGTATTTTGTAATGGAACACAGCCATTGAAGTTGGTGTCCAGCTTTTATGACATCATCAGCCTGTGACAAAAGCAACCGCTAACACTGCTAATGCTGCTAACACTTCACTGCAAGACATCAAACTCTCAAGCCGGGTTCCGAGCAGCAAAACTGCTCCCAACGCCTCCAGTTGGACGCACTAAACCGGGGACAGCCTAGAGGCGTGTCTGAAGAGGGAGGAGTGTCTGAACAGGGAGGAGTGTCTGAAGAGGGAGGAGTGTCTTGGTTTTTTCCGGTCTGTCTTTAATGACAGGTGAAATAAAGACAAAATAAAAAAATGGCTTTGCTTTATTTTCTGAACACCTTACATAAAAACACATCATCTTGTTCAGATTTTAACAAACTGGCTGTGCTTAAACTCAATTATTCATAATTAGAAATGGCTTATTTCTCATTTTCACTGTCGGTCACARCAACTTTAATGCAACAAAACCTGACTTTAAACGTGTAAAATATTTACGAAAAAAAGTGAAAAACAACGTGTCAAGATTAGTATTAAAGAAACTATTACATCTCTGTATCTACAAACATATTGCAATCTAAAAAACTGAGTATTTATATCCAAATACATGAAAAAAGACATTATTTGCTGGAATATTTCTCCATATCATCCAGTCCTGATTTAAAACTCCAGCTCATCCTCATGAATCCAGCCCCGTCCCACCAACAGTTTGTAACAGAACCCCCTGTGACTGGGGGGCTACAGGAACATGCGGTCCTTGCTGTGGGAGAACCGTGTGTTCAGTTCCTGAGACTTCTTCAGCAGCCGCTGCTTCTGGGCTTCGTCGAACCGATTCACCTGCAGGTCGGCGTCGCGATCGAACGGCCTCCTCTCCGCCGGTGTGTCCGCTTTCTCCTTCGCTTTCTCCTTCATCTTCTTGGTGTGCAAGCTCATCAAGGACTCGGCCCGTTTGGACTCCTGAAAACGGAGAGAGAGGGGGGCGGGGCTTCAGTCCTGAGTTTGACAGAAACACGAACGTTTCAGTAAAATAAGGAGGAAGTATTTACGTTGTATTTCGACACTTTCTCGGCCATTTCAGAGTCCTTCTGGGAAACTTGTGGGGCTTCGTCTTTCTTCACCTCGCCGGTCTTCTTGCCTTCGACGCGCTCCTTTTGGAGAAAAACAACTGTATAAAAAACAGACTCAAGCAACTCGTTGGATAAGAGGTTTATTTTTTTTTACGTACCCTGGCCTTTCGCTCTCGGTCTGCCGGAGTGTCCGTCCACACAGAGCGATCCTTGTTCTCCGGACCGGACCTTTTCTTGAAAGTTCGAGCCCCTAAGCCGATGTGCTGCAGCTCCGGCGGGAGCTCCGTCATCCATGTTTCTCTGGTCACCACCTCAGGAGCGTCCTGTTCACACCGAGTGTAGAGAGGAAAGGCTTTAGCTGCTCGGCCTCTCACGGCCCAGCTGAGCGGGTCGTTGTTTTCTGTTTGGTTGGAGAAAATAAAAAGGACTAACCTCGTTTGTCAGCTTCTCCTTCATCCTTCGAGCTCTGCGCTCAAAATCAAGAGCCACAGAGTCTTCAATAGGTCCTTTAGCCGGCATGGGTCCGATCACATCCTCCCCCTCGCTGCTGGAGGGCTCGGCCTGGTAGCCTGGGGGCAGAGCTGGTCCTGGAAGAGCTTCTTCATCTTCATCATCGCTGTCATATTGGGCTCGGGAAAACCCGGGGGGCAAAGCTGGTCCCAGCGCAGGTGGCCTGAGGGAACACAATAAATTTAGATTTATTGTGTGTGTGTGTATATATATAT